TATTTGCTGCAATACTGAGTATATCGTTTTGAATTCGTGGTGACATATAAGTAGCATTTTGTTTTCCTCCTTCAATGTAATTTTTTAATACCTCGTCGCCAGCAGATACTTTTAACTTAATTAAATCATGTAGAATACCTTAAACAATATGTACGATACGAATAAATTAAGTTAAAAAATGTTTTAATATTACCTTCGTCATTCAACTTTCCCCGAAGAGGAAGGTCATGCGTTCCGCAAAATATGCTAGTGGAAATTATTTCTTTTAAAAATTTTCTGTTTTCTGCAACAGTCTTTGCGTGCCCACATTGCATCTGAAAATCAACAGGTGTTCCTTCTAAAAACAACTTTGCAGACTGCGTAGCCTCTTTATGCACATTTGAAGAAGCATGAGATTTGCAGTACTCATGTACATTTTTAAATTTTGTGAAAGGGCGCACAACAAATGAAGAAACAATTCCTGGTTTGTTTGGTGGCTTAAACAGCACGCAGTGTAAACAAAAAGCTCCTTTAAGCCTGCGGGAATACACCAACCACGGTGTATACATGTCCAACCAGACTCTATTGAACTTGCGTTTCAAATGTGTCGCATCATTTGAAAAATTATAATTTTCGTCGGGCTTCCAACAATCTGTTAACAGCGTCCTTCTCTGTGCAGCAGACATAGCGTTCGGCATGTTAATCCACTTACCAATATCATTAGGATGACAGTCATCCATCGTATCAGTTGCAGCATCGCTATCTTCGTTCGAGCTGCTTCCACCTGGGCTCAGCTTTCTTTTTAATTTCGCTACAAAATTCTCGCTTAAATATAACATTTTAAATTAGTAAGAATAAATTATAATTACCTCCAGTACTGCTAAAAAAGCTTCGAATATCCATATTTTATTCATTTTCCAATTGAAGTTAACAACGCGATTTTCAAATTCTTTTACTCCTTCTATTAAACAGCTGTTTAGAAAAAAGCAGTGTTGCAAAACAAAATGTTTAGCACACTTTCAAGTGTTCATGCCAAAAAGCTCATACAACGTTTACACTTAAGTAATTAGTAATGATTTCAAATACTTTCTTGTATAGGGTTTAAATCTCAAATTCTCCAGCGTAATGATCGAAACCTCTTTAAAAAAAAAACAAAATGTAAAATTATAACTGGTAGATATTGGACAAAACTTAAAGATGATGTTTATATTTAAATAAAGTAAAATTAACCAAAACTCAATTATGTGGCTTGTGAAAATTTGACTGTATACATATATTTTAAAGTTTCAGAAACCGGATGTAGGGGGGGCCAGCTGCCCCCCTTGCCCCCCCCCCCCCTGCGTACGCCCTTGAAGGCAAAGGTAAAAATAAAAACAAAAACAACGATGCGTAAAGATAAATGCAAAAATTAAGACCAAGGTAAATTTAAAAGTTTTACTAATATAAGGGCAAATGTGAAGGGGAATATGTAATGTAGAAATTGATAAACATAAAGATGATAAAGATAAATATAAAGAAAAGATGAGGATGAGTAAAGATGAAAATAAAGGAGGAAAGATTAAAATGAAGGTAATTATAAAGAACATGATATAGAGTCACAGAGACTCAACTTGGGAACTATTCCGGTATTTTCGGTATTCTCGGGACTTATCGATATAATGATCGATATTTTTATCGATTTTGTTATCGATATTTTTATCGATTTTATTATCGATCTGAGTATCGATTTGGGTATAGATTTTATTATCGATATTTTAATCGATTTTGTTATCGATATTTTAATCGTTTTTGTTATCGATAATTTTATCGATAATTTTATCGATTTTGTTATCGAGTTTGTTATCGATTTGGGTATCGATTTTGTTATCGATATTGTTATCGATTTTGTTATCTGTATTGTTATCCTTCACGAAATCGTTCGCTGTCCAATTGAACAAATGGTCTGCCATCGTGTGTCACTATTTTTAAAATTGAGGAAATAAAGTCATCTTTGTTCACTTCGTAAGAAAACTATATTTTTTTGTTTTTTTTGCACTTCATAATGTTCTTGGCCATTTTTCTCCGCATTTTTGAAACTGTCATTGTGGTTTTTTTTTAAATGACGCCTTAAGTTAGTTATATGCTTCCCTGCTAAATGTCTGTCACACACATTGCATATAGATTTATTTCTTATATCATCAAACTTATAGAAACTTCTAACCAAGAAATCACAGTTTCTACCCATTGCAATAATTATTAATTGTTTGCTCTTATAAAATTAAAATGCCGTTTCACTACTTCTCACTTCAGTTAAATAATTAGAATGAGCTAAAAATATATGTTTACTGAGAGCTA